CCGCGGGCGGATTGCGGCCCCTGTTCTGGTTTAATATGGCCCCACAGGTAATTTGGCAATATCTAAAAAGGAGAAAAGCGCCTCTAAGTGCAATATGTGGTACATTTATTTAAGGAACATAATGAGAAACACATGATGAAAGAAAACGAAAGGCTTAGGCATATGTGGTGAAAGCAAAGGACATGGTGGCGTCCTCGATGTATACACCATATTAAGTGCTGGAGGAGACTCGGGATGTTCACAGGGAGCCAGCCGACACGTGAGATCCAAAGATGGCATCCGGAGTCCACCCTGGAATGCAACGTCGACGTCAGCGTGACGACGTAGGGATGTCCTGCATGCAATGCGACGCGTTTCGGAGCATGGGCGAGGCCGATGAAAGGCAAAGGTGTGCTCACTTCTCAAGCATTGAAGGAAATCAGTGAGAGTAATTTTCGCTTTTTTTTTTTAGGGGGAGAAACAAGTACAAATTTCAAATATGTCATGGCCAGTATTAGTCGCTCCTTTATCTATTCATTTTTTTTTGCTGCAAAATGGTCGGCCTTCACACATGTTCATCAAATCTGGCCCTCTTTGAAAAAAGTTTGGACACCCCTCCATAAACAGTATTCATATGAAGAGTGGCTCACATCGCCATTCATAAAATCAGAAATTCAAAGGATCCTTGCTGGTTAGTTCCAGGCATCGTCTTTGCAAACAGACCCCTCAGTGGTCCAACTAAGTGAATGAATGATACATTTATCTAATGGAGGTCAATAGGGAATTGAGAATAGTAACACACCCCTCTATCAAGCACTTAGATCAACCCAGACATTTGGACTCGATTACTGATGAGCTTCTTCTGTATGAGGTATCAAAGTGTGGAACCAACAAAATGTTTCCACAAATGGTCTCTCCATCTCAGGGGTGGACTGACAACTCATGGGTCCCCCGGGCAATAGGGGATCATGGGGCCCCTGTGTCCTTGCCCACACTCAAACCACACCCAAAAAAGCCTATGAAAGGTACCAGGGGCATCTCATGGGGTCCCCTACTGACCCCAGCCCTCGGGCAGTGCCCGAGTTTTCAAATGGTCAGTCCGCCCCTGCTCTATCTTATACCAAGATGGAGACATCACAGAGAACTGTCACAGCTACAGTTCTCACTTGCAGAGGATTTGACAATGCATTGTTAGAATGTCCAATGTATTCCAAATTAATGTTTCTATCATTAAATCATTACAATGATGTTAAATAAAATAAAATATGGTCCAGGTTTACTCACTCTTGGCTTCAGCATGACACCAATGCTATGGGGGGAGTACCACTGGAGTGTGACCATTACTTGCCATATACTTTAGCAAGCAAAACCGATCCTATACACACATTTCAGCAACATACATAGATGTGTGGCTTGAGTTACAATTTAAAATCTTTACAATATATTTTTCCTTTTATTGTATCACATATACTGTTGAATTCGGGAAAAGCAAACTATACCTTTTCTTCTCCATAAAATACTCTTTTCACTGCTAAGCCCGGATAACATTAAGAATTCTGCCCTGCGTGTTCCATGGAAAATTGACAGTGGATGCAGCAGATTTGCAATCATTGTTGGTTTGGGCAATCAGCATTTCATATGTCTTGTATGCAGCAACAAATGATTCTGTTACAGGATTAAATGACAGATACAGAGAGGAGCATGTTGATATTTATTCTGAGATCTGATCACTCATACAAAGCTGGCAGAGGCAGGAGTAGTGGGGAAGCAGTGCAGAGAGGTTCACGGAGGAAGTATGATAGGTGACAGGGAAGATTAGAATCAGGTCAGGAATAAGAAGGATCTGAAGGACAGAGAAATGGAAAGAGATGGAACTAGCAGCGGAGCGTAGACTTTCATATTTCTTGTATGTATAAGTAGATGGTAAAGCGTGCTGTGTTTGATATGTACCGCATTGAGTAAGCACACAGTCCAGCCCTTTGTATAGCCATATCATTGTTGATGTTCAATCATAGTGGAGGCTTAGGCATACCCTGCTCATGCTGTCTTCTGCCGTCATGTTTTTTAATATAGAACTTGAGAAAGTGAATTACATTCTGCTGTAAATTCCAAAAAAAACACCCAAGTGTATGATATAGAAATTGTACATACATATCCACTTCCAAGTGTTATTAATGCACACAACAGCCAAAGCTAATATACTATTTTCATATCATACTTAAAAAAGCACATAATAAGGATGCGTCAAAACAGATGCATAACTAGAACCCTCAGGTCCCAGTGCCAGAAACCATGAAGAACCCCCCCTGGTCCTGGGGACCTTCCTACTGATCCCGGGGTTCCGGGTTATTATGGCCGTGCAACAGGACCCCATTCTGCCATCTTGGATAGGGTTGCCACCTTTTTCTTTAAGCCAAACCCGAAGACTGGTAACCAGAGCCCCCAATTACATCCTAGTTCCCAGCATTCCACTTTAAACAGGGTTCCCAGAGCCCCTGTTACTTCAGAGTCTGCAGAATTTCCACTTACACTGTAAGAGCCCTTTCACAAGGGTGGACTGATCGGACAACCCATTGTTCGCTATGGGGAGGAGGTGGATATAAACAGACTTGTCCATTTACACCCGCCTGCATCTGATCTGATCTGCTGAAAACAGACGGAGGGGAACCGTTCACCATTCATCTAGCGCAGAGGTCTCTAAACTTTCCAAACAAAGGGCCAGTTTACTGTCCTGCAGACTTTTGGGGGCTGGATTGTGGCCAGTGTCCAGGCCTGGCATGAGTGATAGTAAACAATGCCTCAGGTGTGGTGTTCAGCTACATAATGCCTGTGGTCAGTAGGAGGAGGAATAGTTTCCCATCATTGGTATTACCAAGAGGAATAGTGCCCTACCATTGGTGTCAGTGGGAGGAATAGTGCCCCATCATTGGTATCAGTGGGAGGAATAGTGCCCCATCACTGGTGTCAGTGGGAGGAATAGTGCCCCATCACTGGTATTAGTGGGAGAAATAGTGCCCCATCACTGGTGTTAGTGGGAGGAATAGTGCCTCATCACTGGTATCAGTGGGAGGAATAGTGCACCACCACTGGTATCAGTGGGAGGAATAGTGCCTCATCACTGGTATCAGTGGGAGGAATAGTGCACCACCACTGGTATCAGTGGGAGGAATAGTGCCTCATCACTGGTATCAGTGGGAGGAATAGTGCACCATCACTGGTGTCAGTGGGAGGAATAGTGCCTCATCACTGGTGTCAGTGGGATGAATAGTACACAATCACTGGTGTCAGTGGGAGGAATAGTGCACCATCACTGGTGTCAGTGGGAGAAATAGTGCCCCATCACTGGTGTCAGTGGGAGGAATAGTGCACCATCACTGGTGTTAGTGGGGGAATTATGCCCCACTCGTGGTATCCATGTTAGGAATAGTGACTCATTTGGAGTATTAATGCCCCAAGGGCCAGATAAAGGCTAGCAAATGGCCACATCTGGTTTGGAGATCACAGATCTAGTGGATCGGATAACAGTCAAATTTTACCGGACAAGCAGTCCGTTCACATCTGAACACCTCATAGAGAAAAGCAGGCTATGTCCATGTCCACTCAGCACAAATGGAGCGAACAAAGACCTGCCATCCACCTGTTCAGCTGGGATCAGCGGAAAGATCCCCCACTAAGCAGGCAGAACCGCTTGGCAGACTCCATCCTTTGGCTTGTAATGTACAGGGAAACTCTGATGTGAGGGAATCCCTACTCACCAAAGCCCCCACATTAGAGTTCCCTTTTACAATACAGTCCACAAAGCTCCCCCTTACATAAGTGTGCTCAAAGGCTGGCAAGAGAAGGGAGAGAGGGGGGACAGTTCACTAGCCATTGATGGAGACTAGGGCAGGCTGTTCATTTCCTCTACAATCTAGTTGCTGGCTGCTGGCCTTTCCCACCAACTCATCCCCTTTGTGAGGCAGAGTGCTGCCAGGGATTGGAATGTGGGTGGGGGCCACAGGCACACACAGGAGGTGAAGGGTGGGAGCAGGAGGAGCAGATCCTGCTCTCTTTCTCCTCTCTTATCTGTGAGAGGAGGGGTTGTGGGCTGTCAGTGCTGGGTCTGAGAAGTGTGAGAGGGAGTGCAATAGACACTCACAACTGCAGCCAGCAACCCTGCGACCCTTGCGACCCTGGTAGTTCCATCACTGTGCCAAGATAACAGGAGATATCTAAGAGCTAATCTAACAATTTTGACCCTATGATGATTAAGTATGCAGAGGCACATGTACGCAGCATAAAATAAAAGTGCATGTATGTATATAGTAACACAGGAAGTGTAAAAAAAACACCCATAGTGTTTCCACCCATTTCCTATATAAACTTAATTCAAATATTACAAAGTTAACATTTTCAGCATTAGGGTTGAGAATTGCTGGTGGGGTACACACATGAGGGGTAAGCATCTAGAAGTGAAACATTTCGGATACATAGGCTTAAAATGGGATTCAACTCAAAAGCAAACATTTATTATATTGCAGCTTACTAATTTTTAGATGTGATGGCTGCATTCATTTTCTTTTATAGCCTTTCCTTCCTGTTATTTTTCAACAGAACACAATTTCTTGCAGCTGTAGCAGTTAGAGGGTTGAGAAAAACCATTTACTACTGACAGGGGTGCTTAAAACAATCAGCTTTTATTTAATCATATACAAACTTTATCCCAAAAAAAACTGTTGCTCTAATTGCTTGTGAAATTGCAGTGTGAGCCAGCGTTTGGCTTCAATTTGTTAATCTTAATTCTGCTAGTCCATCTAACACACCCCCCCCCCAGACTGACAGTGCTGCTGTCCAAAGGTGTCTCTCCTGTACCAGAGTGGGGGCACTCTAATAAAGGAGGTGTGCTACTGGCCAGATCACCATTTGGCAATATAGTGTATATGTATATATATATATATATATATATATACCCACAAAATCATTGGATTCAGGTGTTCCAATCACCTCCATGGCCACAGGTATATAAAATCAAGCACCCAGGCATGCAGACTGCTTCTACAAACATTTGTGAAAGAATGGGTCGCTCTCAGGAGCTCAGTGAATTTATGCGTGGTACTGTGATAGGTTGCCACCTGTGCAATAAGTCCGTCCGTGAAATTTCCTTTCTACTAAATATTCCACAGTCAACTGTTAGTGATATTATAACAAAATGGAAGCAACTGGGAACAACAGCAACTCAGCCACAAAGTGGTAGGCCACGTAAAATGACAGAGCGGGGTCAGCACATGATGAAGCGCACAGTGCGCAGAAGTCACCAACTGCCTGCAGAGTCAATAGCTAAAGACCTCCAAACTTTGTGTGGCCTTCAGATTAGCACAACAGTGTGTAGAGAGCTTCATGGAATGGGTTTCCATGGCCGAGCAGCTGCATCCAAGCATCACCAAGTACAGTGCACAGCGTTGGAAGCAGTGGTGCAAAGCACACCGCCACTGGACTCTGGAGTTTTGGAGACGTGTTATCTGTAGTTGGTTTTCAGGGGTTAGCTTGGCCCCTTAATTCCAGTGAAGGGAACTCTTAAGGTGTCAGCATTCCAAGACATTTTGGGCAATTTCATGCTCCCAACTTTGTGGGAACAGTTTGGGGATGGCCCTTTCCTGCTCCAACATGACTGCGCACCAGTGCACAAAGCAAGGTTCATAAAGACACGGATGAGTGAGTTTGGGGAGGAGGAACTTGACTGGCCTGCGCAGAGTCCGACCTCAATCCGATAGAACACCTTTGGGATGAATTAGAGCGGAGACTACAAGCCAGGCCTTCTCATCCGACATCAGTGCCTGACCTCACAAATGTGCTTCTGGAAGAATGGGCAAACATTTCCATAGACACCCTCCTAAGCCTTATGGACAGCCTTCCCAGAAGAGTTGAAGCTGTTATAGCTGCAAAGGGTTGGCCACCTCAATATTGAACCCTACGGCCTAAGACTGGGATGCCATTAAAGTTCATGTGTGTGTAATGGCAGGCGTCCCTATACTTTTGGCAATATAGTGTGTGTGTATATATATATATATATATATATATATATATATATATATATATTTGTAAAAAAAATTGTGTGAGGAGAGGGGGTTGTAGTAATCTGCAGCTATAAATAAAATATATTTGATGATCTTGTTCAGGCATTTCTTGGCATGTCGTGACAACTGTTCCTCAGTTGTGTTTCTGCATTGTAACCTTGTCACATATGGCCATTGTGGAGACTACAAGCGACCATACTGACACAAATTACATATCTGCAGTCCACTGTTGTCACTAGTTAAAAGCAATGACATTCAATTCCAGGAGATGGCTGTAACAGGCTGCAATGCAAAGAAAGAATTTTTAAAAAGAGTTACAACTGTATTTTATAAAGCAAAAAATATGTCAGTGGTTTGATACGCAGTGCTTTATTAAACTAAATGTCATCCAGTAAATATAGAAGAGATCAATTGCTCAAGTACCTAACGACCTCCTGTGTACCATCTATCAGTAATTACATATTGTACTTAGTTTAATTAATTGCAGTTAGTAACAATGCTCTCAAGTGGGGATGCTTTTTTTTTTGGTTTACATAACCGATTTCCCGTTGAATAATCACATTGAGGGTTTTACAGTCAGCATTTTATCTTACAAATCTAACATAATGGACATTATAATGGCAACTGAGTATACTAAGGCATACTGAAAATGTTAAAGCGGAACTTTGAAGCAGCCACACAAAATCCCCTACAAAACAGAAATCAGGATTTGAGTGCTAGTAATGTGAGCCCATCAAGCTTTACTGTATGACGCTACCTTCCTAACATGTTTCAGGGACTGTATGTTGATGCTACTTGAATGTCCATTGAGTAGTCAGGAGGAAGGAAGCAAGAGAACTGACATAAGAAGTTAAGAATTGAAATCTCTGACCCATCATTAGTGTTTCCCAACCAGGGTACCGTCTTTGGGTTCCCCCAGGGTGCCACAAGCATGGGACCCAGTTTGCCCTGGATCAGTGTTATACGTTGCCATGGTGCTGGTGGCACTCTAGAACCAAGACAAACAGCATCATTTGTTGCTATGGTGCTGGTGGCTGGCTCACTGGCACAATGGCAATGCATGACTCTGATCCAGGGCAGGTGGCTCTCATAGCCATTCCAGCATTAGGGGAAAATGGAAGTCATCTCCAGATCTCCTCCACCTTATGCCCTCTGCTGTACTGCTTGAGTCAAAAGGGGGATTCTGTGATGAGGGATGCATGTGTAACGAGGGGGTTCTGTGATGAGGGATGCATGTGTAACTAGGGGGTTCTGTGATGAGGGATGCATGTGTAACGAGGGGATTCTGTGATGAGGGATGCATGCGTAACTAGGGGGTTCTGTGATGAGGGATGCATGTGTAACGAGGGGGTTCTGTGATGAGGGATGCATGCGTAACGAGGGGATTCTGTGATGAGGGATGCATGCGTAACGAGGGGGTTCTGTGATGAGGGATGCATGCGTAACGAGGGGGTTCTGTGATGAGGGATGCATGCGTAACTAGGGGGTTCTGTGATGAGGGATGCATGCGTAACGAGGGGATTCTGTGATGAGGGATGCATGCGTAACGAGGGGGTTCTGTGATGAGGGATGCATGCGTAACGAGGGGATTCTGTGATGAGGGATGCATGCGTAACGAGGGGGTTCTGTGATGAGGGATGCATGCGTAACGAGGGGGTTCTGTGATGAGGGATGCATGCGTAACGAGGGGGTTCTGTGATGAGGGATGCATGTGTAACGAGGGGGTTCTGTGATGAGGGATGCATGCGTAACGAGGGGGTTCTGTGATGAGGGATGCATGTGTAACGAGGGGGTTCTGTGATGAGGGATGCATGCGTAACGAGGGGGTTCTGTATGAGGGATGCATGTGTAACGAGGGGATTCTGTGATGAGGGATGCATGCGTAACGAGGGGGTTCTGTGATGAGGGATGCATGTGTAACGAGGGGATTCTGTGATGAGGGATGCATGCGTAACGAGGGGGTTCTGTGATGAGGGATGCATGTGTAACGAGGGGATTCTGTGATGAGGGATGCATGCGTAACGAGGGGGTTCTGTGATGAGGGATGCATGTGTAACGAGGGGGTTCTGTGATGAGGGATGCATGTGTAACGAGGGGGTTCTGTGATGAGGGATGCATGCGTAACGAGGGGGTTCTGTGATGAGGGATGCATGCGTAACGAGGGGGTTCTGTGATGAGGGATGCATGTGTAACGAGGGGATTCTGTGATGAGGGATGCATGTGTAACTAGGGGGTTCTTTGATGAGGGATGCATGTGTAACTAGGGGGACTCTGATGTGACGGGGGGTGTTGGAATACAGTGTTCATATATTTTGTGCAGCAACTACATCAGCATTCAGAAGAAGAAATATGTTATTCAACCAGTAGATGGCAATGTTTATAAGTTTGTAGTTGCATCTATGGTAAACTCTATGGTTTATTTTCTAAAGCTGATTCACTCAGAATCTCCTGCACTTCTGCATGGAAACTATTCAGCTTCCAGGTTTTATTGGTAAGGCTTCTTTGAAAAAGCTGAGGTTAGCAGCTGATTGGCTCACATGCACAGCTGCCCCAGATTCTGAGCGATCCAGCTTTAGTAAATAAACCCCTATGTCTTTTTTCTGAATGACGTTTCCTGTTTCCTTGTTGCAGTGAAGCAGAAAAGCACACGTGAACTGTACATTGTCTGTTCTGCAGGGCCATGTAGAGAATTTCTAACAAGGGGAACTCGTGTATAGGAGGCCTTTGATGTATAGAGGCAACTTTGATGTGATAAAAGATTCTTATGTATGGGGGGGTCTTTGATTTATAGGGTGCTGTGATGTAATGGGGGGGGGGCATCTGACATGATGGGGGACCTCTGATGTGAAGGGGACTTCTGATGTGATATGAGGACCTCTGTTATGATATGAAGGCTTCTGATATGATGACCTCTGATGTGATTGGGGAACCTCTGATGTGATTGGGGAACCTCTGATGTGATTGGGGAACCTCTGATGTGATTAGGGAACCACTGATGTAATTGTTAATTTAATCAAGCTGGTTGTGTGCATTGTCCTAGGCTCAGGTTTCCCATTGATAAACAACATTTATGTTTTTTACATTTTAGACTGGAGTGCCTTGAGATTTTGCATACTTTTAAAGGGTACCAAGACTGAAAAATGTGAAGAAATGCTGTTCTAGGTTATAACAGCATAACAGACATTTGGGGGTGAAAACTAATGCAGCCACCATGGTGAGCTGCAATATATTACATTGTTGTTCTTCGGTTTATATACACATTAATCTACCAATGTAACAGCAGAGTGGGAGGTATGTACACTGCTTAGTTTGACAGCCAAACAAAAAATAATAATTGTTTAATGGACACTCAAGTGTGACTAATTTGTAATGTGTATAGCTCATAGCTTTAGGGAACATTTTGTGTCACTGTCTTAATTAAAATACTGAGATAATCATTAACATTTCCATAATTTAAAATGTATACAATTTATTATTTAAGTCTAAAATAAATTTCATTCTAACCCATTGCTCTCAATCTATTTAGTAATTTGTAAAATGGTGTCCTATATTCTGCTCACAATCATTGTATGCATACCCTCTAGAATATTCCCAGACTGATATATCCTGTCTGATTACATTAACCTTTGGAAGTGCGATTAATATTTTATATTTATTTTGTCAAATGTAATATTTTTCAAGCAGTTTGCAAAAATTAGGATGATCACTTTGAAAAGCAGAGCGTTACTAAGAAGGTTTTAATAATCATCAGGCATTCAACATTGAAAATTAAACAACAATTAAAACATTAAAGGAAACTTGTATTGAGGAATGAGCACTTCCTAAATAAAGATGGGCTGTATGTTCGACTCGAACATCGGCCTTTCGTGTGTTCGACGAATAATGCACTGTGCCCTGACAGTGCATTGTGATTGGCCAAAGCAATGCACTTGACTACAGGTCAGGTGCAATGCTTTGGTCAATCACAGTGCATGATGACATCACAAGGGGGCAGGGTGACTCCACCCCCTTGTGACATCATCACTCTATTTAAGACCAGTAATCCCGGCTCATCTGTCAGACGGAGGGAGCCAGCGTCGATAGTGAAGAGTTTTTCTTTTCTTTTTTCAGGTCGGCTGTGACGGCGGCAGGGGCAGACTGACAACTCATGGGGCCCCCGGGCAATAGGGGATCATGGGGCCCCTGTGTCCTCGCCCAAACTCAAAAAAGCCTATGAAAAAGGTACCAGGGGCATCTCATGGGGCCCCCTACTGACCCCGGGCCCTCGGGCAGTGCCCGAGTTTCCAAATGGTCAGTCCGCCCCTGGGCGGCGGGAATCGTGATTGACGTTGGATCTACTGCGGGGGACATTTTTTAAAATTTTTGTTTTTAATAAAGGAATTGTCAAAGACTGTCTCATGTCAATTTTACACTACAATTATTTTTTTGTGAATGGGTAGTGGTGCCACGTACCCCATACTCATTCACATGGGGGAGGGGGGGCAGGATATGGAGGCCCCCTTGTTAAGGGCCAGTTCACACTACAAAAACGCACTCAGGATACACTCCGGATACGTTTTTGCTTACAGTTCACACCACACGCAGTTCCAATTTTAATGCAGTTTGCTATGTTCTAGTACAGTTCTGTGCAGAAAAAATGCAGCATGTTCTACTTTTTTTCCTGCCTTGGAAACTGACTGGATCTGACTGCACTAGTGTGAACCAGGCAGGGGCGGACTGACAACTCATGGGGCCCGGGGCAATAGGGGATCATGGGGCCCCTGTGTCCTTGCCCAAACTCAAAAAAGCCTATAAAAAAGGTACAGGGGCATCTCATGGGGCCCCCTACTGACCCTGGGCCCTCGGACAGTGCCCAAGTTTCCAAATGGTCAGTCCGCCCCTGGAACCAGGGAATACATGGAAAACTGTGCATGCATTTTTGATGCAGAAAAGAGTGCCCTGAACAACATCTAGTGTGAACTAGTGCTAAAGGGGGCTTCCAGATTCTGATAAGCCTGCCGCCTGCAGACCCCAAAAACCACCAGCCATGGTTGTGGGGAAGAGGCCCTTGTCCTCATTAACATGAGGCCCCCTTGCCCCAAAGCACCCCCCCATGTTGGGGACATGTGGCCTGGTATGGTTCAGGAGGGGGGGGGGGGTGCTCACTCTCCCCCCATTTTCCTGACCTGCCGCTCTGCATGCTCGGGTAAGGGTCTGGTATGGATTTTGGGGGGGACCACCACGCCATTAAAAAAAAATTGGCATGGGGGTTCCCCTTAAAATCCATACCAGACCCAAAGGGCATGGTATGGATGAGGGGGGCGGATCCCACACTTTTTAAAAAAAAAATGTAATTGCCGGGCAATGCCAGCATTCCGTTTTACATTCAGCTGTCAGCGAGGAACCCTGCTGACAGCTTAAACAATAAAGAATGTGTTTAGTAGGTGTGTAGTACCTTACCGCATACTTTCAGTAAGATACTGCTTAGTGAACTGTCCTCTCTGTTTGAATTTGCGGTCGAACTTTCATTATGTTCAAATGTTCAACAACGAACTGAACAGCGCAGTGTTCATCCCATCACTATTCCTAAATCACAGACCCACAGCAATTACAGAGATTAGGCTCTCTCACTTGACTTTGACATTCTGACTTGACTTTGTTCCCTATACTTGTTCTGAGTCAGTGGGGGAAAGTTGCTAAAGCTGGAGCACGCAGCATCTGTGCACTGTGCATGGTAGCCAATCAGCTTCTAACTTCAGCTTGTTCAATTAATGTTTGGCAATAAAACCTGGAAGCTGATTGGTTTCTATGTAGAGCTGCACCAGATTTTGCACTCTCCAGTTTTAATAAATAACCCCCATTGCTTCAGAACATTATAAATTAAGAGATAGCCAGCCAGTTAATATTTTCACAAGGAGATCAGCAATCACAGTCATCACATTTCTCTCAATACAGATTCCCTTTCAAAACTGTAGGTAGATAAGGACGTCCGGCATTTCCAGTCCAAATACTTGTCTTGGCCTTTTGTTTCAAAAGTATCAACCTACTGGGTCAGCACAAGCAACAAGCCTTTTCATATGGAGGTCATCAATGGTAACATACATAATACACTTATGACAAGTCTATTTTACTTCATATAGGAACTTTGCCTGGCTGTCTATCGATTCAATACATTCAGTGACACTGACTTGGAAAAAGCATCCTGCTTGAACCTTCATTTAATCCACACACTATGGGGTTGATTTACTAAAACTAGAGAGTGCAAAATCTGGTGCAGCCGTGCATGGTAGCCAATCAGCTTCTAACTTCAGCTTGTTCAGTTAAACTTTGGAAATAAAACCTGGAAGCTGATTGGTTACTATGTAGAGCTGCACCACATTTTGCACTCTCCAGCTTTAGTAAATCAACCCCCTATGTGTAGAGAGAGCTGGAGAGAGCAATAATGTAGGTCATTGCGTTTAATTGGAAAAATCCTTCTGTACTTTTTGTACAGATAAAAGACAGAATCGATGCTATTATGTTGTCAGAGAAAATGGTTCACACTCTTCCTGCTTCCATGCTTACCTTTCATGCAACTGGGACACTTGGTCTTCTATTTTCAATACAATAGTGGACTAATTTTTATTTTATTTTTATATGTAAAGCTCTTATTATGGCAATGTTGGTATGATCACAACTGATATGTCTTATGTACTCTTTCTTTTTTATTTATTTTTCATTTATAATAGTGGACTAATTTATTTTATTTTTGTATATGTAAAGCTCTTATTTTGGCATTGTTCGTATGAGCACAACTGATATGTCTCATGTACTCTCTTTTTTATTTATATTTCATTTACATTTTATTTTGTGTTTGTTTTTGGATGAGCATTCAGCTCCGCCCCATAGCAGAAATACTGGTACAGGGTGACATCTGTGCACAAAATCACATGTATATGTATATGTATATATATATATATATATATATATAGTATATATATATATATGATTTTGCATTACGGCTGTCAATCACCGGGTCCCGGCCGGTGATTGCCTGGGATCTGCGACGGGGAGGAGGACTGTTAGTGAACAAAACAGTTCTCCTCCCTGTCAGCTCCAGCACACTGCTTTGCGTGACTGTGCTATACTATGTATACACTTTACTATATGTACTATGTATACACTTTACTATATTTACTATGTATACTCTTTACTATATTTACTATGTATACACTTTACTATATGTACTGTGTATACACTTTACTATATTTACTGTGTATACACTTTACTATATGTACTATGTATACACTTTACTATATTTACTGTGTATACTCTTTACTATATTTACTGTGTATACACTTTACTATATGTACTATGTATACTCTTTACTATATTTACTATGTATACACTTTACTATATTTACTATGTATACTATTTACTTTACTATATTTACTATGTATACACTTTACTATATGTACTATGTATACTCTTTACGATATTTACTATGTATACACTTTACTTATACTATATGTACTATGTATACACTTTACTATATGTACTATGTATACTCTTTACTATATGTACTATGTATACACTTTACTATATGTACTATGTATACACTTTACTATATTTACTATGTATACTCTTTACTATATTTACTATGTATACACTTTACTATAATTTACTTACTATATGTATACACTTTACTATATTTACTATGCATACACTTTACATGCTATACTAAAATTTACTATGTATAACTTTACTGTAAAATGATAATTTGGGTTGTATTTGGCATGGATCCTCAGATAGTCATCTCAGTGTGTGATGATGAGTTAAAAGTGAATCTTTTTTTGGCATTCTAAAGGGAACAATTTCCTTTGATCACAAGAGCTACTCTACAGGATTTATATAGTGCCCACTGTTTGTGCAGTGCTTTACAATATTCCGGGAGACAGTACAATTACATTCCAAACCAAGGCAGGAGGGTTCAGAGGGCCCTGCTCATGAGAGTTGACAATCGAAAGGAGTTCTGCAACAGTGTCTTCTGACACAGAAGATGAAAGCTGCCATAGGTGCATCAAAACACCAGCTGGAAGGGGGTTTGTGTCTGCTTCAGGGAGTATTGCTGAAACAATTCTTGATAAAGCCTTACATTTGCATACTTCTATTTATACATTCAAATGATCCATCACTGTTTCGCTAGATCACATTTGGATTCTAAGAAGTGTGAGTGACGTCAACGCTTCAAGAACTTGCCTTCAAGTGACTGACAGACACAGAAGTGTACTGCTTGCTTGTCATCTGCAATATGTCTGTACATTTAACCTCAATTCAGAATGAATATATGCATTGTAATGTGCAAACTGCAGAGCTTCTCGTGAATTTTTCTAAATCGGGCTGCCTTAGGACACAAGTGTTCCAGGGGAAATTACACAGTTCTTGCACACACATTTATATTTAGTGATGAGTGAATCAATTGACTGAAATGGGGATTTCCCTGGATTGAGATGTTTTCATTGCAAATCAGAAAAATGCACACGGAAGAGGAGTGAGAAATCGGAGGAGCCGTGCCTACAGGAAAGTCGTGAAAGATCTGAGGAGAAACGTAAGAGATCTGAGGAATTGCAGAGAAACGAGAGGTAATGAGCAGCACAGAGAGGCAGGAGGTGTTGATTAGTTAGTGGCACATGCTCGTTGGGGTGTAGGCCCTTCTGGGCCCCCCATTTTGCCCGATAAATGCGAGGCAGCAAGGTCAGGACCACATGACAACTTTCTACTTAAAGTTTGCGTTCAGCAGCACTCAGGGTGCTCTAGGAGAAATATTAAACAATAGAGGTTGGAACCAAGAGCTACCCAAGTCACACAAATCTGTGGGCAGAGGGCTGATAAAGTAAAACTCCCTTATGCCGGGTACACACAAGCATTTTTTTTTGTTCAACTCACTGAAAAAAAAATTAGAAGCTCGCTGTACTAGCTATGCAATGTTAATACAGCCATCTACCCACTGAGCCATTGTTTTCTGACTGTCCCCCCCCCCCCGCCAGAACACACTAGTCAATGCTAGCAGCCATTGGCTGCAAGCGCTGATCAAATACCGATTAGCTGCTGTTTTTCCACCATGCCCATTCACCATTAGCTGGTCGTTCATCTGGTTTCTTTTGGACAGGCCGTTGTACACATGGGCCGAAGGTCGTCTGGTTTCTGTTGAACCAGCCAATACCAGCGGATATTTGCCCAGTGAATACTAACCTTTAGAAAGATGTGAAAAGAGGGTGGAGTGGTAAAGCCAACCTTTGCTAACAAAGTAAATCTTAACAGATGATCACAGGTAAATGGGACTGACACTCCACTCTGAATACAGTATAGCTAAACAGTCAAAGACTTTTGGGATGAAACCGAACCAGTGCTCTGTAGATGGGTAGAATTATTGACTCATCTCTTGAATAAAGAGAGGCACACCCCTTA